TAGAAAATGAATTAAATATATATTAAGGAGATTATTAAATAAATTTAATATAAACTACTTTGAAACGTTGATCTCCATGTCTAACATTAGCACTACACCTATTCAAATAATATACTAGGTAATACCTATAAAAAGTACCGGTTTTTTTCTTACTGTTGTGTATTGAGTCATTGTATTTAAAGACTAACTTTAATCAAATTCAAATTCTTAAGACTACCTTGCAATTTATATTAAAGCACAAGAGAGTGAAAGCTTCTGTATATACTTAACACTTGCATTAGACGTAATTTTTTCTTTCAGAGTAGCAAAAAATAATCGCAACTTACAAAAGAAAACATGTGAAGCAACAACAATGCTTTTAAAATCTTCAGAGTTAGGTTTTATGCGCAAAAATGTTCACGTCTGAAATTTAAGTGCAGCCAAATTCAAAAATCATATCAGCATTTCATTAATTATTAAATTCAAATTCATAAATAAATAAATTAATTTAAAAATATAAGGTAAAAATGCTAATCGTTGCGTTTTTAATATTAATTTTGTTTTATTTTCTTTAAATTAATTAATTTTTAGTGTTTATAATTTTTATATATTTTATAAAAATACACAACAAAAAACATATGTCAAAAATAGAAATTTAACTTTCTATATAAGCGTCAAGGGATAATTTTATTTTATTAATAATGTCTGTATTCAAAATAGTCAACTAATTTTGTTCATTTGATAAATGTACCTATCAAGATGCGTTAATAAGTTTTCTTCAATTAGTTTAAAAAGTAGAGAAATTTATAAAAATTTAATTCAATATCCCTTCCATGGCAAATCTTTTGAGTTATCAATTATCATAATATCTTTTTTCAGTTCGTGTAAAATTCTGAGTATCCACCATTATAACAGATTGGTTCAAAAGTTTAGCCTCAGCAACCTCATCATATCCTAAGGCAAAGTAACAGACAATATTCACAAGAGGTTAACTTTTATGTGAATGAGCAATTTAGAAAGCCTCCTATCTTGAAGGCACACTCTTACTATTCATTATATTCTCAATAAATGTCCAGTCCAGTCAAGGCGTAGTGAGGGGTTTTGAAGAAACCTCGCAGTTAATAGAAAGTAAAAGTATTCAAGTGCACTTACTCAACTAGCTTCAATATAATAACATATTAATACAGTTGAACTTTCATAACTCGAAATACTTTTTTGCGCAGAAAAGATTTGACTTATGGAGACTTCGAGTTAAAGAATATATTTTGTAATTGTATGTAATTTGCTCTCCAAAACCTTTTGCACTCTGTTTAGTTTGAGTTATAGATAATTCGAGTTATAGAAGTTCGAATTATGGAAATTTGACTGTTTATTATGTTATGTTGTTGTCGTTGGACACTAAGGCTATACAATTCAACAGTACTCATTTTTTACCTATATCTATTTTATCTAGTATTCACAGTTCTTTGTGTAATCGATGTATAATTTGCTAATAAAACTGGCCGCTAGATGACGTTTATAGTTCTTATAAGTGTGCACAACTTTGCAACTTTAAGTTCCTGCATCTAAAACACTAGATATATCAAAATTTCCCAAAATCCATTGTTAAATAGACTTGCCAAAGAACCAAAACCTTCCCAAAGTTTTCAAAAGATAATTTTTTCAAAGTTAGATCACAAGTAAGAGTTGTAATAATATCAGCTTCTTAGATTCCGTGTTTTAAGTATTTTATGAAAATAAAAAAATTTTAAAATAAAATTATAAAATTTTTAAATAATTTTTTTTAATAATAAAGAAAGAAAATAATTAATTTATAAAAAACAAAATTTAGGAGTAATTCCAAATTCGTTCAAAGGAATCAAAGTAGTAATTATTTCTCATAGTTGAGAAAGACTTTGTTTTTTTGGCGTTCATCCACTGAGAGGTATTCCTTTCTTAAATGTCTTTTCAATATCTATAACTCGTCCTCTACATTGGATAGACTTTGTCTACGAACACGGTTGCCACTTGAAAATTTTTTCCTGTACCAAAATTGGTTTAAAAAGGTACCATTTCTGTAAAAAAAGGTCCAAAATTCTTATTTTTTCGTTCTGTGTTTTTCATAGTATTATAGATGAACAAAATATAAAATAGTGCAAAGTTGCATTTATAAAAAAAATTAATTGGAAATATCCACAATAAAGTTGTGTCGTCAAAAATGTACCATTTTTTGAACATGAGTACCAAACGAAAAAAAAGTACCAATTTTGGTACTAAAGTACCGTAAGTGGCAACCGTGTCTACGAACAAAAATTTGTTTGTGTAAGTAAAAAAAATTAAAGCGTATGGAAAAATCTAGTGAAGAGGTTGAATAATTTAGAAATTAGAGACGATGTAAATTTAAATAATATGACTAAGTTGTTTCCTGGTTCGAAATAGGTTCTTTCAAAACAAAACTAGCATTCCCTCTAGATTGTGGTATTCCAAAGCGACAAAATGAAAGTAGACGCTTCTTGTTGTTAGAGAGGCTGCCAATGGTATCTCTCATCCTATTATCTATATGTTTGTACAATAAACTACACATTTAACAGCATTTAAAACCAACTGGATATCATCGTTCTCTTAAGAAATTGTTCTTCAAGCATCTAAACTCGTTTGTCCAATAACAAAAGCTAATATAGGAAATATTACTTAATACCTCTCCATTTACATACGACATTTCATTTTTTTTTAATTTATTATTTATATTTACTTTATTTTAATTTAATATTTATTATTTTATTTTGTATTCTAAATAATCAAATTTTATTAACAATAATTTTTGTTTATACTTTTGGTTTAGAGTTTTATTTCAATGAACAGTGCTGCCAGTTCTGGCCTTCGGGTTTGTGTCTCGAACTATAATAAATGTTTTGTATCGTACTCTATTCTACGCTAGATGGCATACTTCCAATTTTGTGCACTGTGTTCGAAGTACAAAAATTTTCATTATTAAAAATATTATTTTACAATTTTTTTTTAAATAAACTCAGAAATTAAATTTAGATTACATATTATATTATTTAACAATACTTCACTTCATATGAATTCAGAGCACATAATTAAATGCAGCAATATAACGGCAGTTTAATAATAATTATTTTGTATACGGTGAATGCTATTATTAATAATTGTTATATTAAATTCCTATTTAAAGGAGTATCAAATCATAGCGCATGAGAATTATTTTTAGAATATTTGGTGGTTTTTATATAAAAACTACCAAATTTTTTTTCGTAAAGTAATTCTCGTGTTCTGTGATTAATCGTACATATAAATTCACATAATGTTTTAGAATTAAATGAAATTTTAATTTAATATATGGAATTCTAAATCGTTTTCATCAAGTAATAATATTCATATTTTTTTTGATTTGTTTATACAAACAGTTATTACATAACATTTTATGATAGAATAATGAAATTTAAATGGACCTTGTATTTTCAATCGTAATTAAATTGTTGGATTCGAATCAAAGGATAATATCCACAGTTTTCTTTCTATAAATTTAAATCCAGAGTGTAGAAATAAATAGATTAATTTTGGTGCAAACGAATTATATCTCTAATATGGTTAAATCAGTTCGTCTTTTAGATTTGATTATAAGTTTGTATATATTATCTAGAACATAAAATGTTTCCTTTATTGTGTTAAATATATTAAAGCTATTTCAAATGTGTTCGTGCTATATGTGTAGAGCACTTTTAACACTTCTCGTATTATGGCTCCAAATGGTCAAAAAAACGGTATACAGTAGCCGCCTTTTAAACAGTAAGAGGATCTCTAGGGTGTTGACTTTTATCTATTAACTAAGCAAAACCGCAAAGTGCGATGACCTTATAATAGACACTAAGAAAGCCAAAATTATGAACAGTAGCTACGACTCTGAACAGAGATCAGCTTTGACACTAGACAACTGTAACCTTAAATGTATCGAACACTTTTTTTTACCTGGGGAGTATATAGTTACAAACAAGATGGTCGCGGACCATCAACTCGCAATTGGTATGCTGTGTAACGTATGGCCGTCAGCCCAGATCACATAAAAAACCAAGCTAAACTCTAAAGTAAAAGTCAGTATTGTATAATGGCTCTGAACCCTGGAAATTCTCAGTCAATTGATCAGAAAATCCAAGTCTTTATAAACAAGTGCTTGCGACGGATTTTTAAAATATGGGAACAGATAACAGATGTATGTATGTATGTGCCAGTACTGAAGGTAAATAACTTAAATGAAAGTGGATAGTGCATACTCCTCACAGAAATAAGATCTTTATTGCGAAATAAGCATTGTGGTGGAATCCGCAGGGATATCGCCCTACTGGTGCCCCGCCAAAACTTGGCGAAGATCTGTTAAAGGCGAACTAAGTGAGATGGGTTATTCGTGGAACACAATATGCAGAGAAGCAAACAATAGAATGAGATTCAGAAGAATTGTTGAGAGCCTATGCTCCACTGGGAGAAGAGAACTGCAATAAATAAGTAAGTAAATGATCAATAATAACAACAACAATAACACAATTCTATATTTTCTATTGTATGTATATATGTTACTTCAGATGGTACTGAAAACCTACTGTGATTGTGATACCACTGGGTTTGGGATTATAAAGTACAGCAATCTTAAGTAGCTTCATTGTTTATTAAATTTTTATTTTTGTTTTGTATACATTTATTTGTTATTGAATTAAACTTAATGGATTTTACTACGAATAATTTATAAAATCAATTTAAATAATTTGTCCAATGAAATCTGATAAACTTCATATTTGTGTGATAATTAATAGAAAGCAATCACAGTGGGCAACCAACTGGTCAGCTGTCCAACTCTGTGTGGGGCATTTCACTCACATCCCACTTGGATTGAAAATTTTTTACTTTTATTCTATACTCAATAATCAGAAGTTCTCCACAAGAACACGTCGGAAGTAAACTGCTAAGTCAATTAACAAGTTAAGTGCAACTACGCTGATAGACTTCCGATTTCTTCAAATTAACTGAAAGATGCTTTCGTACTTGAAGTATAAATACCAAACGAAATCAGCGGATTGGCAACAGTTTCTGAAACCTGCTCAACACAACAGCACAGACGGTGTTATCTGCAATTGCTCAACAAGTACTCGCAAATATCCAAAAACGGCACCGGCTGACTAACATACACTCGAAAGTCATCAGATACAACAGCAGCAGCAGATAATCTTTCAATCAGAACCAAGTAAGTGGCAGAAAACATTAAGCAAAACTTTTAAGAACAAATACACGTGCCAACTCCCACTAAAAAATTTCGTTAAAAAAATTTTATCAAAAATTATTTCAAATACTCAAAGCGGTGACGATATGAAACGATGACGTAGAGTTGTGATTTTTTGTCTATCTCTAAAAAATGATGTCTGTGAAGTTTTTATAAAATATAATAAAAAAAAGAATCATTGAAAACCGGCAAAATTACTTAAATCTGCTTCAGACTCGCAATGAGTACCGCTTAAGTGATTTGTGAGCATTGCCCGAAACCGCTTGAGGGTGTTAGCTAAAAATCTTGTTACTGTGAACATTTTAAGTAAGAAAAATTAATTATTGAATTTAGATAAAACAATTGATTAATTAAAGACATATAATAAAAATTTTAAAAATAAATACCTAAGTGAAAATTAAATGCATCTGCAATCCAAATCAAGAGTCACATCATATAAATATGTTGGTTGGCAATTATTAGACATTGCTTCTCTCCTTCGAGATAGTGAATATATGGTTTCAATTTTTCCAAGTAGATGTAAAAGCTAAATATTTCTTATTTATAATTTGCTTTTAATTAAAAATATATAGTTTTCGTCTGACATTCTTGAAACGTCTCTTAGTAATTAACTTTAATTTTAAACAATAGAGGTCGCAATACCATTCGGTTTTAGTTGGTTCCATTTTAAGAATTTCATTATTTTTAATTGCCATTTTTTATAAAAATATACTTTTACTTAAATACATAAAATCTTGAATGATTATTATTGTATGTCATGTATACTCCGAAAACGCAACGTATACTCCTTACAACAGCTATGTACTTTCTGTGACAATTCGATACGACTTAGGTCTTGTCGTAGTTAATCAAGGGTGTTATATACAGAGTTTTTGTAGGATGAAGGATAAAATGAAGTTACAATGAACTATATGCTATTATGTTAAAAAACAAAATCCAAATATTTCTGAAAAAAATGAGGATTTTAAAGCTACTTCATATAGTACTCGTATATATAGGTCTTCTTATATATCATAACTATTTCATATTATTCATATTTGTTCACAAAACCCTTTGAAGCTTTGTGAACAAAGTCCATTACTAAATCTACAGAAGAACTCTTAATCTGTTCTGGTGACAGAAATTCCATATGAAATAAGTTTCTTCTGTGCGTTGTTAAAGCTGGACAGTCACAAAGAATATGCATAGTAGTATCCTCATCTTCGAGTCATAATCTGCATTCCGCATTAGGAGATAATCGTAATTTATGAAGGTGATATTTCAGACTATAATGTCCTATAATGAAACTTATTATCAATCTTAAATTACCATTTGAGAATTTAAACATAAGTCTTTAGAGTTGTGTTCAAATGGGACTCGTTTCTTGGCAGATCTCGGCTTCATTCCATATAAAGCCGTACTTTGTAACTCATCTAGAATTGTTTACCACCACTATTTTTCGTTCAACTTCCTTGTCTTAGAACTTATGCTTCCCGCTTCAAAGCCAGAGTCGCTGGTGATGTTGTTATATAGACACTTTAAAGACCATTTCTTCATCCGTTCGCTGCAATACAACTGTTAAGATTTTACGAAAGATCTGAATATTCTAAGATTTGTTTCTATTCAGATTTGGGATTATAATCATATGCTGCAGAATCTCGCAAACATTGATCTAGCTCTTTTCAATCTGTTTTCGACATCTTCGTTTAAGCCATTTGTGCTATAAATAATATGATACTTACAAAATAGTAGAAGAACTATCCAAATAACAGGCGATTACTAATTCAGAGTTATGTATAAAGACAACATCTTGTATCTACAAGATAAAGGTTGTTGGTCTTCGATTTTTCTTTATTTAATTAAGGTCAACGCATATTCATAATTTGTTCAGATGGTTTATTATGATCTGCATGTCGTCACTGTGTGAGTTAGTAGGTACCTGCCGTCTGAAAAGTCCACAGTTTTTACTTTCCACTTGAAGTAAGAGGAAATTATTAAGGTCAATTGACATTACTAATTTGTTCAGGTGGTTTATTATGTGTTGCATGTCGAGGTCTGCAAAATCCACGACTTTTACTTTACCCTCAAAATAAGAAGGTACTGGTTACAGATATGAACTAACATAACATTAACTCAAGTTTCTTTGTATATGCGGTGTATTTGATATAATATCGTAAATAATAACATTTTACGAATTATATTTTTACTATCAATAATATTTAAAAGGACGCTCTTTATTCTTTTACGTACTATACTTTTACATACACATTAGACTGATATAACTTTTTTGCAATATCCTTCAGAAAGCAATGTTTAGAAAAGCATTACTAAGATACTTAGAATATATATGGCATCCATATTTATAATACTGTAAAAAAATAACAACATACTTAAGTTATTACAATCATAGCAGAAAGTTACTTAAAATGTTGGCTCATTTTATAAGCGTATGGAACTCGAAAGGTAAGAACCTGTAACTAAACATACGATTGTCTTCATGTGGCAATTCCGCAATTATCTAAGATTATCTAGAAGTAACTATCTAAATTCTTTAATTCATATTTCATATACATTACAACCAATACAAAGTAGATGTAAAGCACTTTCTTTGTCTTCTTCAAAGCTTCAGCAAGAATCGGGGAAGGAAATATTCAATATCCGAGCATAGTTTTATAACTGATAGTTAATCGTCTACATATCTATTACAAAAATGGTGTTTTTGCGGTACCTCTCAATGATATTGCTAAATTTATTATTTGTTCTTTATTCCATTAACTCCCATTGGAGCATAAGGCCTCAACAATTCCTCTGAACCATATCCTATTTGTAACTGCCGTATAGATGTCGTTCCATGAGTAGCGCGCTGATGTTAGTTCGGCAGTAATTGTTCTATGTTCAATAATGGTCGATGTGATCTTCTCAATATACTTATATCTTTCAGATTATTCAAAAGCGTTTTTTAAGCACTATATCTGTCTAGCTTTATACAATTGCTATATATATACTTAAAGAAAAGAAATGGTGAAAGTGGTCAATTGGCTTAGAGATGCGTAGCAATCGAATCGTTTGAACAAATTTTAAAAATTTTTAAGCTTGACTATTCATACAAAAATAATTCGGTATACATTTACATTTAAAGACTTCAATTTTTAAGGAGTTTTTGGGTAATATCTACTATGAGTAGTACTTTACAGAGAATTGTGGTCAAGTAAGTAAATAATTATTGCCTTCCTTTTTGAACTTTACAAATCAAGTTCTGGATTACATAAAATGAGTTCCGTTGACTGTGAAAGACATCTGGCTGAGATCAACGGCCTCATCATATAATTTATAGATTACATATGTTGAGGTCCGTTGACTGTGAAAGACATCTGGCAGAGATCGCATTCCAGTAATCAGGATGTAAAGATGTTAAAAGCTTCCGCTGATCACTTTCATATAATATTTTATATTAAATATAAAATGTAAAATAAATCTAATAACATTTTAATTGATTCATATCATTTATAATAGCGTGCAATCTGCTTTAGAATATTATTTCAACGTTAAACCATGTTTTAAAAAATTTTTCTCTGCTAATTTCTGAGTGTATAAAGGAAATATTTTTTTTTGTTAAAATGATTGAAATTTTCAGAAAAGCACTTTTCAAATAATTTAATTGTTTTACTAAACCATTAATGTGCTCTCTTTTCCTTAAGTTGGAAGTGAAGTGGGGACCTTAACCCCAAATGTATTCTCTGTGAATTTCTTAGAAGTGATTTTAATGGGTTAAAATTTCACACAAAGCCTTTTAATGTTTTTCGGTCTACGATAAAACTAAGTATATAAATATATACTAAATATATAAATTTCTTTCCTATTTTATGATAGTTAAAATATTTCGAAATAACTTGTTTTATGTTGAAGCTATTTGAGCCAGTGCACTTGAGCACTTTTACTCTTTGTTAACTCGAGGTATCTTCAAAACTCCTCAATACGCCTTGACTGGATTATTATTAACCACTTCATTAAACTAAGCAATAATTGACCTCAGATCTGCTTACCTCCCCGAGGAGCCTGTAACCATTCTGAGATTCGATAACGCGGCGTTGGTAAGTCGTATATTTTACTTAGACTTCTTCACAGGTAAACTTAAACATTACTAAACTATATAAGTAATATATATCAAAATATAATTTTTTCATTGCATAACAAAGATCACAGTCCCTTAAAACGTATATAATAGAAAGCATAAGGTAAGACAGACCTTCGTCGACCCTAATTCCTAGGTCGCATTGTGTTGGCAACATTTTCTCACGCTTTATTTTGTTAATTTAGCAACATTCGAAATTTCGGCATAAATACATGAAAATTAAAATATTAATAAAAGACTTAGTAAAAAAAAAAAATTAATAATAATAATAATAAAAATAATAATATTGCATAAATTAAACAAAAGCGACAATAAAAAACTCCATTAAGTGGAAAAGTAAACAAAGTTGCCAAAAATAGCAACGCGTGCCAGACGCAGCATTTCAAGAAACCAGTCGCTGCGTCCGGTTATGTTTGGGTGAGTAAACACAAAAGTATTTCTGCAGCAAATGAACATTTTTTGTTAAACAAAAATAATACATAAAAAAAAATTTATTAATTTTATTAAATGATTATTTATTATAAATTAAATATTTACGAACAGCTGTTTGCAGCTATGCAAAAAAAAAAATAACAATTTCTGTAGTAGATTTCAGTAATAAATTTGCTTGGAATTATTTTAATATTTTATTTATTATTAAAAAAAAAAGTACTTAATTAATTAATAACAAAAATAAAATAAAAACAATACAGAAATAAAGCGAGAATCTGCGACATATTTTACCGGCATTTTACTCACTTCCTGCTCAGCCGCTGTACCGCCGTACCGCTGCGCCTGCCGACTTGTATCTTTTTTTGTTGCGCATGACAATATTTAATGAATTATTTAACTCGCAGTGGGGATTTTTTGAAGAAATTATTCCAACTCCAATGGAACTGCTTTTTCTACCTTTCTAGTAAAAGTTGTGCGTCTGGGTTTACTTTTAGGTTTAAGACGCAATTTCAATTTTAGAATTAATATGACTTCCTTTAATGAAAATGCTCAACTTGAAATTTAAATTTCCTTTAATTTCTTTCAAGTTAAAAATATAATTTTATTGATTGTCTTCCGTGATAATTGTACACTCTTTATTGTAGACAAGTTAGTCACTTTGCAACAAGTCAGTTATATACTTCACTTCAAGTACGAGCTATAAATATAATTGTTAAGATATTTTATTCAATAAGAAAATCAAATATTTCAAATCAAATGTATCTACAAATATTAGATTATATTAGATTTTAAACGATTTGAGAACTTGTTACCACGTCACTGCATCCCTTGGTGATAATTGTGGCAAACCCACTTTACTTCCATAGACGCCATTATGTCCTTTGAAGAGATGTTGCCTAATTCCATTATAAGTGTATAGATAGTTAATAAGTACCGAAGTCTGAGTCTGACAAGACTATCACAGTGACACAGAATGTGTTCTGCTGTTACCTCTTCTTCGTAACAAAGAAGAGGTTCTGCATCTATCGAACCTAGGTACTTTGATAGATGTTTTTGGATTCCACACTGTCCAGTGAGAAACCCTGTGACAAGTCTCAAGGCATTTCTGCACAGCAAAAGAAACTCTCTTGTTCTGGCTTTTGATAGATTCTACAGAGATGTGAAAATAAAATACACAATATGAGCGGTCCTTAGAGCGGTATATAGTGCATTTTAACGTATATATTATTTGTATATATATTCAGTTATATTTAAGCGTATAATCTCTATCTTTTCTTTTTTTTCTGCTTTCCTTCCCTTCTTCCCTGTCTGTCTTTGTACTGCATCATTGGCAATATAATCTATCTATCTTTAGCGTAGACTTCCATTAGTACAATTTAAATAGCTTATGAGAATTTATAGATACATCTATTGTTGGAACAGATTATGACTTACTGTAATTATATTCCTTGCATTAATCTTTCGATTTGTATATTACTTTGAACACTCAATTTATCATAAAAACTTCTTAAATTATAATTGATCGCCAGACTCAAGCATTGAGTAGTAATCTCTTGAAACAGCTTTGCTGGTGTCATTGACACAATACGCTTGACTGTAATTTTTGGTGTGATCAGGAGCGAAGCCCATCTAATATATTTTTACCGATTTTCAAGTCATATCATTTAGGTGGAAAATGCAGCATTAAATCGAAGAGTAATCGATTTCTAACATTATATCCTTCATGAGTGCATTTAAGGAACCAAAATAAAATGAACAGAACTCCCCGATTGCAAAACGTATCAGAAAAACGTATCTCTTTTAAACTTGCGATTCTACACTTAAAATGAAACAAGCTAAAGTTAAGTTAAAAAATGTATTAAATAAACTGAGAAATCATTTATGTATTATTACCAGATGTTTCTGAAATGATATTGTGGAAAGTTTTTATTTAATTAAAATATACTTTCTAATAATAACAAATACTTTTCTTTATTAATTTATTATCTATTGATTTGAAAACAAGACGAAACTAGTTCGAATAGCACGTGGGGCGCCAAATATATTAACATTAACTGGTTTAACATTTATTTATATTAGTTTAGTTTTAATCCCTGTTATTTGTTTTTATTAATAATATATTGTTATTTTATTAGAGAGATCAACAACATTAATACTATGCACTGTGTTGTAATTTATTTTCAATAAATAAGTTATAAATTGATCACGTAGTTATTGTAGATGGAGGGTTCCATAGCTTCAACCATTTACATATATGAACTTCAGATATCAAATAATTTTTTTTCTACTATAAAGATTATCAGCGGTTTATAATGAAATTTTTTACTTGATCTGATATTTGGATCTAATGTAGATTCTAAATTAAAATCAGGTAAACCAATATTTAAATTTATTTTCTCATAATTCTGGAATTATTACTCTAAGTTTTACTAAGTTTAATCTATATACAACTATAAAAGTAAAGTTGAGCACTAACTACGTGCATGAGCGGAGTAAAACAGCATATTTCATAACTGTTATTCTTATACTGATTTTTCATATTTACGCATTTATCAAAATAGTAACTAATATTATGATACGATTTAGATCACCGATTTGTTTGTATATAACATTAGCTATTAGCTATTTATTAAAATTGACAACACGTCGCAAAATTTATAGATCATAATCATTGGTATCAAAACAAGAAATATCTGAGCATGAAATGTAGTACCGATGTCCTAGAATTTGCTGGCGTATTTTGCTGAAATCAGATATTTTGAGCAATTCTGGCCCTTTATATCGATATAGTAAAATTTTCCAGGTAATAGACTTTAAAGTTACAAAGAGGACAACATAGGAATTTTATATATAAATTAGCAATTTTAAAGTGTGATACCTCAATTAAGCTAAGAAATAAGCACCCTCAATATAGTTAAAGGATTTATATAGAACAGTCGATTTTGCTTATTTCCATCATTAAAGTGCTACGAAGATGAAACTGTAAATCGGCTAAAAACCATAAACCCTCATTTAAAAGTAAAATTACCTAAAAAAAAATTAAAAAAGTCTTTTCAAACTATTATTTCCTACGACAAAAGGAAGTAATACTTAGAAATAAATTTTTAATCAAGGGATATGGAATTCCTGGTCGACTGTTCCGGATATATCCATTATATGTGGTTTATTATTAAAATATCTCAAATGCTGTAATGAATAAATGTAAAGTATCCATTGCAATACTATCAGACATTTCAACATTAATGAAAATAAATTAAAGACCATACATTGTAGAAGGACTTATTACTAAAACGGCACATTATCGGCTGTCGTGGAACCCTAAAAATAAAATTATATGTAATAAATTGAAGGTGTTCCCCGATACGTATAAACTGGATTATGAGCAAATGAATAAATTAATGAATGAATTTATTTATTGAACAGATTAACATAATTTACGTTGAAAAGCGTAGAGTATTGATATTTCTGGCTTCAAATGCGTAAAATCTGACACGCCTTCGAAACTAAAATATGCAGAATGAAATAAAACTTACTTAAAACTACTTTTCGTAGTTCTCTTAAACAGAAAGAGAATCAATATATAAATGTGTTTTTATGTTTATAACGAAGAATTATATAAATTAATAATATTTGAAGCTATAAAAACACGGAATAAAATTTATTAACAAATATTTAAGACTTCAACCATAAACTGTACGGTTTAAAATAATATGAAATTTTTCGAACAATTTATTTAAAATATTCACCAACTATTATTTATGACTAAATAAATTTAAATTTATACTAAAATAGCAAATAAAAAAATGTACTCAACTAAGTGCCTAATTATTACCATCGCTGTGATTGCCCTCTGCAGTCTATTTGAAGTCACACTGGCTCTTCCCTCCATTGGTCACTACAATAAACGCTTCGGTAAGTATCTCAAGCATTGCGAATTTAGTATTAAAACTGAAGTTGTGTCAATTGATTCCCGCTTCTTTCAGATTCCTTAGGTGGCATTGACTTCATACAGATTTGCCTCAACAATTGCGCGCAGTGTAAGAAAATGTTTGGTGACTATTTTCAGGGACAGACGTGCGCTGAGTCCTGCTTGAAATTCAAAGGCAAAGCCATTCCGGACTGTGAAGACATTGGTTCCATTGCACCATTCCTCAATGCACTTGACTAAATCGAAGAGCGACTGCTGGTGATGACTGCTCAATAAGCTGCGTATTGCTTTGATCTAGTATATTTTTATCCGATTCCGCAAACTATGACACATAGTCGTGAGCTTTGATTTAGTTTTATTTTTTGGGTCAATGCAACATTTGCTTGTGACTTATAAAAACTTATTGTCTTCTGTATTGAATGAACTTTGAACATTCATTGGTGAATTTTATTGTAATTTTTTATATTCATGCAAATTCACTGAAAGCCATTCATTTAAATATAGTATCTTGTAGTTACTCAGGCTTTATTTTTAGTTCGTAGTTATTTATTAACGAGCGCTCGTAACAATTTGAAGTTCCTATTGTAATCGTAATTTTATGTGTAAGTAAATTAAATAATTTATAAATAAATAAATGTTAGATAAAACATAAACTATTACATATTAATAAATTTTACTGTGCATATAATATATTTTCTGTGTTTGGCATTTATCTATCTTATTATCTAATAAAATTAAGATAGTTTAAAGAAGAAACTGAGTAATAGTTAAGAAAACGTGAAGGTTTAAGAGAATTTCTCATATAAACCGAACTTTCCTTATAATATTTATGTCTTCGTATTTCAATAAAAGATCAGCCTAAAGTAATTTTTTTTTTTGTAGAGAAAAGGATGTTTAAAAATGCCTAAAGCATCGTTACTATATCTTCACAATAATGGTATGCCCGATTTTCACGGACTAAAAAGAATTCCTATTGTTTCTACCCCGAAATCTTATCGGATATACTTCAATATAGGTTCCCTCTATTGGTTAGTCACTAACCCACATTAATAGAAATGAAAGAAAAGCGTTGCCATTATTCATCTTGTATGTTATTAGCACAGATCTGACTTTATGACCATTCAAAAACATTTAGTCAATCAAGGCTTATCTGAAAACGCATATAAGTACTGTATATGCATTTCTTTACATATTGTGATTATATCGGCAAACTTTACTATTGTAGCTCTATTGTTGCTACTGCATTTGTACATAAGAATAACAAACCACTTAAGTTCACTTTAATATTTCATATATTTAATTAAGTTTATTTATAAGCAATAGATACAAGGAATCGTTTGCCACAAATACAAACAGTTTTTCTGATATGTTATAGTTCCTTTATTTTCTTGTGGAGCACAGGACCTCAACGATGCATTTCCATATACGATTGTTTGCAATTACTTTTAATTCGTTCGATGATTCTTAATGCACAAGTTTCGGCATGTAGCGTTGTTCACCATGATGTATTTGGATGTCCTCTTTTTCTTTTATCTTAAAGATTTCAATCTAGTGCTTGATGATATATTTCGGTTTAATTCTTAAGAAGCAAATGGCCAATTCACAGTTTGTCGGTAATTTTTTATAAATTATCTAAAAGATGAACAAAATGCCTAAAAACCGAACGCCAATATTAACACCATGAAAGGATTAATTTGCCTTGAAAATTACTTGTTTTCTTAAAGAAAAACTGGAAAAACTTAACTAAATATAGAAATGATTAAAGTTAATATAAGGGAAAGGATATGAAGTTATTCCATAAAATAAAGAATAATATATCAAAAAGAGTTTGCTTTTAGCTTAGAACTAAATACCAGTAGACGGTAGAGGTGATCTTCCCAGAAGAAACTTTTATTTTATTATTTAGTAATTAGTTGTTAGAAATTTATTATTGTTATCATCTCTACTGAAGATGACCTCAAATGTGCATAACAATGATACTAATGGCACTAACTAGTAATACTAGTTATTATTCACTAATTAACACTTGACGGTAACTCTAGATATTCTTATAACATGGGTTCCGGACTACAAGGTACAGAATGCATTTTTTCATTTTCTAATTTTGTCAGGATTACGAGGGATATTAAAATACTTGAGATTCGGAATAGCGAAGAACTACTGTATACGTATATTGACTACGTATTATGATACGTAACTTTATAGTATGTATATATCATTTAGAAGTTTCTTTGGTAACTTATATAACTGTACATAGCTCGTGTCAATGGCTTTGTAGCCAATACCAAGTGGTTATAGGGACAGATGTCAAATTCTTTAGGGTATCTCAATGGACCTCATGGTCTAAGTGAGTCTTCGGACGGCCCCAGTAACCAATCTAACCTAACCTATATAACTGTAACCTAATAGCATAAATATGTCTATTCTAAAATTGATTTGTAACAATTAAAAACATGAATTTATTTATTTTATTTTACTTTATTAAAATAATTCAATTTATTACATATATTTCATCCTATTTATATAAAATTTTATGTAAAATTATTTATGAGTGTAATAAAGATGATTCACAATGCTTAAACAATAATTTTCTATTTAAAAATAATATTTACACAAATATAAAATTATTAGAAGGGAATGTTTATAGTATAAAAGTATGTAGCGATGACATAAACAAGATATTAACAATTAGTATAAGTAAAAAATTTAGATAGAATAAAAAATTTTTATGACTGAAATTAAATAAATAAAATATTTGAAAAATGCCATAGAGGTGCAAACTATTTTAAAATAGTAATATAGGTTAAAAATAGTAGTGTAGCAAAAAGTGACTTAGAAGTAAAAGATATACATTTCTGAAAGTGGTTAAGGATTTACAAAAATGCTTATAAGAGGTATATTGAAGAGGTTTCACTGTTCAAACTATTTCACTTCCTACACTTAAACTTTAGTATAAAAAAATGGCAAAAAATTAAATGTTAATTTTACAATGCGTATTTAAGTTAAGTAACACTTAAGTGTTAGATATTGGGAAGTATCCGAAGTATCGTTAAAGTTAAATCCACACTTCAATGTACATTGTAAAATTAGCTATAAATATATTAAATGTTTTATTTCTGTTGTATGTCTGTTATATGTTTATTTTAAAAAAAATATTTAATATAATAATTCCTTTGAATCGATATTATATTTTTTTTTTGCACAATGAATAAAACATTTAAATGATTATTATATATGTAAATTAGTAATATAATTTTATTACTATGAGCAATTCATGAGTAATGTCAATAAAAGTATCTGTATGAATAAAAAATATTTTTTTAAAGATTATGATATGAATGATTCGGCTTTCTGGATGTATTTTTTAAAAACTATTGTCTTCATTGACATTTTTTTTTCGAAAAGTGTAGCACATTATATAAATTTATTTGCTTAAATAAATTTATATTTAAAACTTTTATTAAATGCATATAAAATGAATAAAATTCACTTTACATAAATGCGTACAAATAAAATTTTAAATTATACAAAGTTCTTACTTAATGAAGATGTATTATGATATTTTATAAATATTCCATCTAATGAAAATTTTAGACTGGGTCACTGTGTGAAAAAAAAATTATATCTTAAAATAAAGTTAAGTGTAGGATTTTACGATGTTTTATGTTCGATTACATGAATGCAATTTGCAATTTCAGCCTAGAATTTTTTAATTTAAAATTTTGCTCTTACTTAATTCAAATAATAAAATCAAAAATAATTTTGACAACACTTAAAATTACAATAAAAAATTATAATTGTATTAGATTTTAAATATAAGATGATAATTGACCAAATATAGACTTCAAGGCAGGAGTAAAATTTTTATTTCTTTCTAAAGTTCAGTAAAGTGTCAGGTATTTCGTTGATATAATTCTAAAAAAGAAATTTACGTAATTTTATTAGTTATACATACATTATTTGAGGCTTAAAGGTACTTACATAAACTGGTGAGTCGATATCATGACCGGAATAATCAGCCCATTTCGTTAAGTCTATTGAAGGTATAATACCGCTTTTACATGGCACGCGGGGGTTACTGAAAATAATATTTGTTTAAAATTATTATTAAAATTATTTTTTTGTTAACTGTTACCAATTTATAAGTCATTAATAATACAGTAATAATTTTTACGAAATTAACTAAAATATAAGTACGTTTACACTAGCGCAATTTAGTCAATAATCTTGCAAGTATGATTTTTCATACAAAAATTATAAAGGCATGTCAATATAGTGTATATGTTCAAAATCTATAATCTGATACCAGGTCAGCTTATTAAGGCCGGTGATGAGCATAATTTACTACACAAAGAGCTTTCACAAAAATGTGCTCATTATAAATAAATCAACAGAATTAAATGGAAAAATGTTGAATGCAACCATTGCAAATAAATTTCCCCAAGGGAAATTACCAAAATTTAAAATATTTGTTATGTATTTTTTGTGCAAAATGTGAACACATAAGCTAAATCTCATGCATAAGTCAGCTTATGCCAATGGAAACGACCAAATTTTAAATTCATTAACATAACAAAGTTATTATGTGGAAATTATGTGGAAACATGATATAAGGATTTTAGATTTTAGATTTACCATAATTTTTAATTTTTAATTTCACTTTACTCACATTTCATGATCTGGCAACACCATTGGGTAAATTTGCACGGTGTCAATTAAATCTGTGTTATCACATATCAAGCGTGAAAGTTTTGCTTTACGCAATTCTTGCAATTGTTCTGGTGTGAAAGATGATGGCTGATTGGGTAATTCGTACCAGAAACGATCACCACGTCGTACATAACTCATTTGCGTCGCAATTACGCATGCAAAAGTAGGTCCTAACATAGAGCCAGGCAATGATTTCTCAGAAACTCCACCTGACCACAAATCAATATCAGCTGGATGTCTAAAAAAATAATCATAAATTATTAAAATAATATTCAAAATATTTACATATAGTATTTAAAAACTTACTCAAAGATACTTTCATAGCGTACAATCGTTTCATTAGGCATAGAACCAAACATTTCTTCCCAAGTATTTGAAGTAGGTAAACCACAGAATTTTCTAAATTCCATATAACCAGGCAAGCCAAATTCACGTCCACGTTGCATATTAAATGAAACCAAATCCATACCAAATCGAGCACCTTCTTTCTTAAACAAATGATTTGTTACTTCCTGTGTAATTGAGTCGTCCATAGCTTGTGCTACTTGATTCATCAAACCCATAAAATATTCATCCAATACACCGGCACGATACAAGTCATAAGGACGACGTATCAAGTCAGATAAACGTTTTGACGCAATAAATTTATGTGCCTTAGACCAACGTTCTACTGCTGTAGGTAATAATGAATGTCCAAAACGGAAAGCTGCGCCGGCAAATGCATCAATAATGCCAGGATTTACACTTGGATCATAGCCATCCCAATAACCATCCTTTCGTAATACTAAACCAAACTTTTCCATTATTTCTTTACCTAAGAGTATGGGTAAAAACTCATTGAAGGTGACATGTTGCACAATAGCTACATTGATACGACGTGCTTCTTGGAATAAAGTTTCATCATCCCAATGTTTGTTGATTTGTGCTAAGGCTGTGGCTACACGATTGTGTTCTCGTGCCATTAAAGTGTGCATGCAGGTCAGTACCAATTGTTCATTGACACGAATTTCACCAGCTTCGAAACAGAACATGCTTTTGTTGGGACGAGTGCAACCCTCATCGGGTATATCTAATTTCAGTGGTAATAAATCTTTAAGTCCATACTCTTGGAATACAGGATTCATGCGCAGCAGACCACCATAGCCTGTACGCAGCTTCCGATCAAATTTCTCATTTACACCATAAACTGTGTTGGCATCGATGACACCGGTGAGTGTATTGAATTGTTGTCGGGAACCTTAAAGAAAATTATATATGTTAAATATATATCAAAAATTGTGAAAATATATACAATAGATTATGTAAATCAAAAAAAAATTAATCATATTTTAGTTATAAAAATCTAATACAATATGCTGAATCAAATTAAAATTTATTTACAGTCTCTGTCTTCATCAGATGTATATTCAGTCTACAGTACTACTTCTGCAGCAGTTGTTACTACTCCACTGCCAACTTCATTAAGATTGCATTTTAATTTTTAAGTATTGCATTAACGTCATGCTATTGCATTCATTTAAAATACATTATTTATTTGAGTCGTTTAAGTATTTCAAAAATATAAAAATCACGCCTACTTCTCCCCACAAAAATAAGAGCTGACAGATAAAGCCGGCAGACAGCATGCCGAAAAGTGCAAAATTTATGACCGAAAAGTGCTTACCCGCATTTTTCTACCAATACTGAATGACGGTCTCTGTGTTTTGGCAATTGGGGCCATGATCTTTTAAGGCAACGGCACATGGCAAGAAGCTTAAGCTTCTGTATTTTTTTGGTTGGGTTTAATGATCAATAAAAGTATTTCTGTTGCCAATATTTTTTAATTAAATTGTAAAAATATTTCGTTTGCTAAATTTTGAAATCTTAATTAAGGATTGGTTAATAAAAGGAAATTGCCTAGACTTATTAGTTAATCACCACTATTAAGTAGATAATACATTGATCACTTTATTTTTTACTATTTGGCTTAAGTGGGAGAAAAATACGGGGTATCAGTTCTTACCCTCGTCCGATATTAGAATTTTCTAATTGACATTCTGTCACTTATCAAAAAGGTGTAAACGTCTTCAATGAGGGTATAAGTTTAGGCTTGACTTAAAGTCAGTTTCTTTCTATTTAACTTGATAAGTCGCTAATTTTTGATGATTGGTAAAGTAATAATATGTTAATCTCTGAACGCAGATTAAAATTCTTTGACAGTAAAGTGTTACAGTGCTACATAACAGCAAAGAAGTGCTATATTTTTACTTTTTGTAAATTAGAAATTAAGTGGAGTTTAACCGAATACTAAAAAATTACGAACCTGATTGTTTAATAACTCGTTATTATTGTAATATCTGAAAATCAAACACACCTACTTAGTAAGATACTAAGCACATCCGAATATTCCTAATATACTATCGAAGTACGTAATAGTTTTTTGTGAAAAAAATACTTATTCTATTGGAAAAATTTTTAGAAAAAATACGAATGACTAAAAAAGACAATAAGATCATATAGACGAACCATATAAATTTTAAGATTTTATAGATTTAAATTATTTATTCATGTTTTTTTTGAAATATTTAGTCACAAAGAAATTTTATTAAAACATTTTAGACTTATATTTGATTGACGGTAATGTGAATTATTCTTCAATATAATAATATATATATTAACCATATTAATATATATGGTTAATATTCAATACCTCTTGTAAAAATTATATCATCGAATTTTGAAAACTTTTAACTTTCTGATTAAATAAATTGTTTACCCAAATATAAACATGATAAATCTAAAAAAACATAGATATCCAGTATTATTATAATATAGATATCCAGTATTATTGTAATACTTGATAAATCTCATAAAAATCAATCACATTTTTTATGAACCTTTTCCAACATTTCATATGATTAATTATATTATATTTATAAATATTAAAGAATGAATCTTCTTACCCAATCTGCAGCCGGGTCTAGGTGATGGAAAACCTCTCACAAAATCAATGCATTTTACATTAAACAAACGGTAGAAATAATCATCGTCTGGTATGCGGATCTCATTACAATAAGGATGCTTCAAATGTAAGGGACGCTTACAGCATTCCTCAGGATCATTACGGTTGATGGGATCTAAAAAATAATAAATAAAATAGTTATTATTATATTATGATTGTTATGTATTGCAGGTTAAAATAATTACATATTTATATAAATTATAATTATATATAATTATACATAAATTATATCAATTAACTAAAATAACACTATAAGGAAGATTTCAAAATCTTCTGCAAAAGTTATTCATATATTATTTTTCCAAATACAAATCATATAATTATCAAAATATGAATTACTATTAATTAAAGTATTTAAGCTAATTTAAGTATTATTTTTAAAATTTAATGTACTTTAATTATTAATTTATTCATATTCATGTATTTGTGCTTACCAAGTGGTGTGCCGGTTAATGTAAAATCATGATCCATGAATTGACCCCAAGCAATAACCATAACAGTGCCGGCATGATCATGGTAGCCGTCATCAGGATGCATGGTGCGCGAGACAATACGTGAGTAAGGCAAATCATGACCGGTAACAGAAATACGTGGTGCATTTATGCCGTCAGAGTAAAGTGGTCCAATTAAACGTTGAAATGGTGACATAGCAGCACCCCACGTTGGATGTTCAATATTATTGCAGAGGCCATCGAAACGACGATATTTACCCGGCCGACATTCAACACCAGCAAAGAACGGTGGACACACCTCACGTATGAGTGTCTTTGATGTGTCAATTGTGGGCAAACCCTTTTCAATTTCCTCATATGATAAACCATAACTATAAAAATAACAAATAAAAAAAAATTTATTTATTTTTTAATAGTTTAGTTATAAAACTACACAAACTCAAGAAGATGTACTACCTTCAAAAGGCAATACTAATATTATTGTCTCCTCAAATTGTGAAAAATTTATTTAAATGTTATTAAAAATAAATAAAATTTTCTATAAATTATTTTATTGATTATATTATTAAAAACTAAAATATTATGTCTCTTTAGTATAGCGTAATTAATAATACATAATATAAAACATAAAACCAAAAAAATTGTTTAATACACCACTATTTTTTTTCTTTTATTTTTTTATTCTTTATTTTTATCTTTTTTTACCTTTCATTTTTTTATTAAATAATACTAGCACTATTTATTAAAACATTTATTTTTAAAATAATTTTAAACATTATTTTTAAAATTATATCTTTATCTTCTATATTGTCTAACATTTGCACGTATAATTCTACGTTACTAGCCAGCTTGCTTAAACTGTTAGTGCTATTATTAATTGTTAATAAATAATCAAATTTTGTTAAATTTATGTGAATACATTTTGAAACATTTTTCGGCTTCAAAACCCCATTGATAATTCAATTATGTATTAAATTTTATTCTTCAATTAATTACCAATTTGTCTTAAATTTTTTTTGTTGAATTAGCGATAGTTGAAATCGCCACATATCCAACAATGTTGCTTAATTCGTTAGCAACAAATTCGCTATAAACATTCTATGTTATTTATAAAGAAAATATGAGTTCGTCACAGGAATTCGTTCCTTGTTATTAAATAATTTACTATTATTGTTGTTTTATGTATATATTAATAATGTTTTTATATATGTACAATGTACATATACATTAAATATTTTTTAGTAATAATAAATTAAAGCTTATTTAAAATAAAAAAATTATTGCTTGCATGAAACATCATCTGTTTCTTAAAAAATTATAAAAAACTATTAAAAATAAATATAAAATGATTTTTATATTAAAAATGCATTTTGAGAAATATTTATAGTAAAGCAAATCTAATTTAATTTTAAAGTTAATAACTGTTAAGTAAAAATTTTGCTGCAAAGTGTACGCTCTGGCTGAAAAACATTGTAATTGCTCCAAATGAACTATTTAATCACTTATACATTACGGCATACTTTAATTATTCTCACAGCGACAGTATAGCCGATCAGTTAAGAGAGTAATACTTGTCTCGATCAGCTTTGGACGAACTACTTCATCACTCGCTTGTTACGGAATACTTCAAACACACCCGCAACGCAAACACGACCGATCAGTCAAGAGAGTAATAATTGTCTCGCTCTGCATTAATTTCAACAACTCATAAACTAGTTTAAATTTGGCATTGATTTCAACAACTCATAAACTAGTTTAAATTTGGCATTACTGACACAATTGGTTCACTGCTAGAAAACGAACTAATCTTACGCTAGGCTTCCACTAATCCAGCTTCCTATAGAGGAATTACAAAAGAAATAAAAGACACAATTATAGTTGGAGACAAAAATATCTACTTTTATGGGAACTTAATCGGAACAAAGTAGATAATTACACCTCAACAAACACGAACAACTGACTGTTTACAACAAACCTTGCTATCTGCTAACAATTAAAATGTGAAAAAACGAAAGCTCTCCTAGAACTTTCACAGATCTTTCTGACACATAAAAGCTCTTTCACATACATAAATCAACTTATGCCAATGGAAACGACCAAATCTTAATTTTATTAATAAAAATTGATTTAGCAGCAGTGTGAACGTAGTAATAAAGCACATTCTGTTAGAGACTATGGAACTACTATATATGTTAATTTCTAATTAATTTGTTTTAAATATGAATACCGTGGTGTTCATAAATAAATTCAAAATTAAAAAAAATTTCTATAAATTAAAAAGTTATTAAAATAAATTAATAATTAATTAAAATAAATTTTTATATATTATAAATTTATGAAAACAAATTTTTTAAAACTATAACTTTATTAAAATAAATTTTTATAAATTTTAAATATATAATAAATATATTTATAAACTAATTTATTTATAACTTATATAAATATAAATTAATAAAACATAAAGTTTATAATAATTTTATAAACTAATGTATTAATTATAATAAATAAATGTATAATAATAAATTTAAATTAATAATAATTAATTAAAATAATAATAATTTTAATAACTAAAAATTATTAATGTTGTGAAGATGTGACGTATTACTCTTGAAATTGCAATAAAGTAGGGAAACATTGAAGAGAAGAAGATAGAACTACACATTAATACTATGTTCCAGGCCCTATGCTCCACTGAGAGATGAGGATAAGACAGAAATCAAATCGTTAATGAACAAGCAACATAGTTAATTAAGTTAGTGACTGACACAGATGCTAAGCAGACATGGCTTTGGGTAGTATAAACACCATTTTCACATTAAAGAAAATCCATGTTATCCAAAGTGTCCCAAGGAAATCAAAATAGATATTATATATTCAGAAAACAGTGAGTGTGGCTTGAAATATAATAGCCAGTCAAATCTGTAGTTGCACAAATGTGGTCTAAGTGTCTAGGTATGGGAAATGTCTGTATTGCAATATGTACTAGTACGAACTAATGAACTAACTAATGAATTTTAAGTTAACTTATCAGTCCTTTCAGCAAAAGTTTTTCGCAAAAAATAGAAGAGGCGGTTTTTCGTGTGTTAAAGTTACTCCCCAACAAAAACTTACGATCTTTTTATTACGTAGAAAAAGATAAAATATCACTTTATGAAAGGTTTTTATATACTTTTTAATGTTAAAGTCATCAAAGGAGGAAAAACAAAACGTTAAAAAAATCCTATAAGAGCAATAAACTAGCATGTCTAAATAATCAAAGCATCTATAAATATTCGTTATATTGAATGAACCTAATAAAACCTTTAGTTATACAGCAACTTCACTAAATAGTAGGCAAGAAGAAGTATATTCACACAACTGCGTTGATTTTAATCTCACGCTGCAAAAATTTAATAAACTTAACATTCACTTGGAGTAAAACGCAAAATTAATAATGGAAAAATTGAAAAGCGCTTTGGTACTTTCCCGCAACCAATAACGAATGTTAAGTATCGCAAGCAACACTTGCTTATATACATTCATTTTGTTTACATTGTTGTTGTTATAAACACTTCATATAAATTCATCTGTTAATTTGCCAAAAACTAAAAAAAACATTTATAACTTCCTGACATTGATAAATGTTCGTGTAAAATCTACAATAATAAAAAAAAATTGTAGTAATAAAAAAGTTTTAATGCATTTCAAAGTCACACACTGAACGCACCAAAATAATGCTTAAATTGAAAAAGTCTATAACAATAAATTATAATGAATGCTTTAGCAACATTAAAAATGTTGCTAACGTCTGTGTCAATGATATAATGTTGCTAATGGCGAGACAGTAACAATATGCTGTCTCAGATATTACTTTCGAATTCATATCAATGTGTCAATGAGCTAAAATATTTCTTAGATATTTAAATGCTAAAATTCGCATAATTATAAGTAAATGTTTGAAATTGTGAAATTTTTGCTTTAATATTTATAATTTGGTTAATTTTTATTGTTATTAATTTTTAATTGTTTTATGCAAAACAACGGAAGTTTTATCATAAGTTTGTAAGTTAACTACATTTATTAAGTGTGATTATAATGCGAACAAAATAATTTAATTATAGTTAGTAATTGTTATATGAAAAAAACTTAAACATAATTATTCATAAACAGAAACAATATGTTGTGGTGTTCGCTTATAAATATATATATTACTATAATTAGTAACTTTTAACACTTTAAAAAATAAAAAAAATTCTCTTTTTTAAAAACAAATTTGTTATAATCAATGAGCACTGCGATCTAAATGATCTATTGTGCCCCTTAGACGGATTAGAGCGTTTCTCAAAATTCGAATTCTTTAATGAAAGACAGTATTGAACCTATCTTTCCTACCTAGTCTTGAATCTTTATGATTCATGATATACCCTCCTAGATGTTTCTTCCGTTTGTGCATAAGTGCCGGGCACTCCTCAAGCACGTGGTATGAAGTTTCTCTCTCTTCCCTACAGTTCTGCAGTCTAAGTCTAAGTGAATTCCTTACTTTGTTAGGTGATTATTCAATCTTCAGTGACCGGTCAACTATCCCTTAATAATTATTAGGTTATATTTTGATTGTTCTATGCAATCTTTGAAGCGTTTTAGGTTGTAAGTCCCTAAAAGCATTTTAGATTGTGATAGTCCTGCTAGCCTTTCCCAATAGAACTATATTTGTCTTTCTTTTTCCTCTGCACCGTTCATAAGAATGGATAGAGTTACTTTGCTTAGACCACAGAAGGAATATGTCATATGAGTTAATAAAGGAATATTTTTGCTATATTGCTGTAGATATTAACTTAACTGCTAATAGGCAATATATAATACAACTAACACACATAATTTTATGCTTGTTTTATAAGGAAGTAATTAGAGAACTATTTTATATTCACAATTAAAAAAATACTAAAATAAAGAAAATTAATAATATTTGACAATAATTAGTAAAGTAACCATTTTTCAATATATCAAAAGTCCGTCACCAATGTTGCTATCAACATCGTCAAATTGCATTGTCATGGTTCTCTCATTAACTGTGAAACATAATTACATTCAAGTAAATTAAGTTTTGTGATATTTTGTATAGTACCTGTCAATGTCAAAAATTAATATTTACTTAAATAAAGTATTATAGGTCAATTAATTCAATGTAACTAGTTTTTTAACAAAAGTTGCGGAACTTAACAAAAAAAAAGAAAAATAAATAAATAAATATAAACTAAATTGAACATTTGTTTAAAAAATAATAAAAAACAATATTTCAAAGTACACTCCAAAAATCTAAAAATTTTAATAAAGACTTTAATTAAGAGATAAATATTGATGTCAACAATACTTAAAAAAATTAATAATAATAATG